CATGTGGAGCACAAAGCCTTGAAATGTACAGAGAGAGGATGGAGGACTTCTTGTTTGGAAAAGGACTACATCTTTGGTCACTCTTAACTGTACTGAGATACATTCCAGTCAGCAGTTTCATCCCATGGGAAGGACACCCAACATTATTTAATATTTGAAAGACTTTAAGAGCGTTTTGTTTAGCTGTATTACATATTTCACTCAAAGAGGGTGAAAACATTAAACCCAAACTGATGTTATTAGGTACACTCACCTATAACGCTGCCTAGCAGCTCTAAACGATCAGAGCCAAAAAAGAGATGAGGTTCCCCATTAAAATGGGCCACAACAGCAGGCATCCCAAATGCCTATTCACACCATGGAGATGAAACAGAGAACGTTACAATGACAGAAAGTTTTGCAGATACATCATCAAGCCTCTGGAATAAAAAGCAATGACTGACTTTTTTTCCTCCCCTTCTTTTCACCTTCTTCATTCTGACAGATGAGCCTAATTGGAGCCATCACAAAGAAGACGACTCTCCAGAGCCTGTGTGCCCCTTTTGAAGGAGCAAAAAAACCCAACCACCAAAAAACCTCAGCCTGGCAAATCCACAGTTTTATGTCAAGTAGCAATCTCCTAGTGCTGGTCCTATAGCTGCCCATCCTTGCTGCCCAGCTGGAATGAGCTGGATGGCTCAACCTTGGTTTTGCAGATGACAATGAGAAAAACTACCAATGACAGTGAGTTAGCTTTCACATGGTCAAAACCAAAACAAAGACCACTTAAAGGAGATGGTCTGTATACTGCTTTCTAATCATCACCTTCACTGTTCCTTGCTTCCCAGTATTCTTAATAGGAAAGGAATGCCCAGCTGTGATGCCAGCTGGCATTGGAAGCATCTCACCCCATATTTTATTGCTTCCTCTGTTGTCTCTTTCAGTCGGTTCTTCACTGCAGGGGATGAAATCATTTCAAGTGTTTTCTGGGCAAGCTCTGAAGATAGCCCAGCCTGTCTGGCAGCCTGAGAAAACAGGACAGAATTCAGAGTATTCTCATACTAAATATTCCAACTCCTACTATGGTCCGGTTAGTTCAATCTTCAGTATTGTCACCCAAGGTCTATTATCAGAAACATTACAAAATACCCTTGAAGTACTTCCTGTGCAACTGTCTTGCTGTGTTCCCAACCCATTCATCATTGATGAACTCTTAGATAGAAAGCAGAAGGGCTATTCTAAACTTCCAAGCCCAAAGCTGCACTTTCTTTCAGGAGTTGCCAAACAGGGACAAAAAGTTTAGCCTCTGATCTGATGACTTACCAGATAATAAAAAACAAGTGTTCCTCTGAAAATCTTACTGTACAAGCCTGCCGAGACAAGATTTATGGCTACACAGGATCTGCACTTGATACTGCATGAAAAAAGATCATAACTCACAGAGGTTAAACAGTTGCTGGTGTTCTTGTTGTATCTTTTTAACCTCCTCTGTGCCTCTGCCACACAGGAATGAGATAAAGTGGCCAAAGGTAAAGGTTCAATGTTTACTGGGTAACTTTGAAGTACCTATTTTAATCAAGTATTCCACAAATGAATGTTAACTTCCTGCCATCTACCTGAGTGATGTAAATACTAACAGTATTGCACGTGGACCAGTAATCCTGCACATGCAGGTGTTAATGGGTTTTAATTTCTTTCTCTTAATCACTTTTCTGTTTAGCATCCACATTTTCTTGTACCTTCTCCTACTTCCCCATGGAGGTTAGCAGCTCTTTTTCACTCTGCTTGAATAGGAAACAGACAAGTGTAGCACTGGAATAGAACAAATTCCTGTGTATGTTCAGTAGCCCCAGTGTTTAGACTGCAACATTTACAAAGAGATGTAGTATCTGGTCCTCACCATTTTAGGGCTGAAGGGGTATTTAAGTGGATTGGGGCAGGATTCAAAGACTGTACATTCTAATTTATGTGAAGTTACTGCTGAGTAAAGAAAGAAGTGAAAAATACCGAGGAACCATACAAATATGGTTTATAAATACACCATCTATAAATACACCATCTATAAATATGGTAAAAATAAACAACATTTCATTTTTCTAATTGATGTGTAAAATAAATTCATCTATAAAGACTTGGATGAAAGGGTTGGGATGCCTCACCCACCTCTGAATGCCATATTTCCAGAACCAAAGTCTAGTACTTGCTGCAGGGGTGCATGGAGACGGACATGAGCAAACAAGATGCTTACCTTGTTCATGCCTTGCTGAACACAGGAGGATGCTCGCAGACCACCAAGCAGTGGGTCTGTGTGTCGTTCAAAGCCTGACCCTCCACCCAATCATTCCAAACAGAGCTGCTAGGAAATCAAATCCACTTTTTTCTAGCTGAAATTTCTCAAGACTCCAAGTGATCATTTGACTAAGCTGACTTCATGTCTATTACTGATCCAAGCACCAGTAAGAATCTGTACCTGAGATGCAGAAGCACCAACAAAAAGGAGACACTTACAGCCAATATATTTGCTGGCTGACTGATATCTTCACGCTGGTAAAAGAACAAAACACGTGATTCAGTATTTAAGAACAAAAGCTTAGCTCTGGACTTCAAGTTTCATGACTTTGCATTAAAAGACATTTCATTTCTCTTACTCAAATTCCACATTTGAACAAAGTGGGATGGGAAGGGTGACACAGAATGGATCAGGAAGTTGGCTTCATAAAACACTGACCTGTGACCAAAAACGTAGCCAGAACTCCCTAGATAAGGACTCCACATATTGTGGTTGTGTCATATCAATGGCTGTGATAAAACGCATGGCTCCGAGAGTGCCTGGGATTAGTGGGAAGACAAAGAAACACACTGAAGGGACAAGATCAGGAATAGATATGGCCTGCACAAGTACTACCCAAGAGCAGTTATGATCTTCTCTGTAACAGTCCCCACCCTGTAAGGGTTATGTTGTTTCACCATATCTTCCATGCTAATATCATTCATAACCATATTTCTCCATGAATTTATGGTTACAAATGTACAAACATCACTGCTCACAGATACAGGAAGAGGCTGTGGACAAGGAATTCGTCTTTACTGTTAGGAAGAACTTGAACCAGAAGTGCTGAGAGTTGAAAGATGCCAACTAAGCTAAGACTCTAACTTACCTGTACCAAGGACACGTTTGAAGTCATCTCCTGAAATGTGTACAGGCACTTGGTAGTATTTTGCCATCCTTTTGACATCCTGCAGCAGGTATTCTGCACGCTTTGGCAACATTGCTGGGGGCTTGTTACCTTTCAGGAAAATAGTTCTGTTGAGATTTTTCTGGACAAAACCAAAACTGGACAAATTAGACCTCATGCATACACATGCCTAAGGAAGAGCAGAATTTCGTATCGACTTACTGAAACATACACAGCTTTTCCAAAGATAATGCTAAGATTTAAACATGATTTAGACTGGTTTTGCACAAATGGACCCTTTAAGTTAGCAAAATCAGTTTTAAACCATGGTAAAAATGCCCTAGCAGGGATTTATACCGATTCAGACAGATGACTTTTAAGCTAAACAAATGCAGAGACTAGTTAATTTCCCGATTTGTCTCAGTGATTAATTTCTAACAGGGCCATTAATTACTAATAAGGCCATTAGTACCACTTTAGGTCATCCTTTATGCATATTACAAACTGAGAGTGTTCCACAAACTAATTCTGGTGTGAAGCCAACAGAAAACCTTTAGGAAAACATTCCATACCAAATTATTATTATCCTGGATTAGAACTGATGCACCCTGTCATACACTGTATGTGCCACAAACAGTGGCTGTGTAGTTGCAACAGCATGAAGTTCCTTGTGGCTGATTTCTCAGTCACTACCGAGCTCTGCAACTCTGTATTTAGTTACTGGTGCCAAAATTCAGTTTAAAGCTGTCTCCGTAGAATCTGCCCTCACTAAGAGCTTACCCACCAGCATCGTATTAGTGAAGAAGGTATTTCCCTACAGAGCTACTCTCCCTGTATTGCCTACCAGTTGCTTGCATTATGCCCCCAAGGAAAGCTGGACGAAAGCGCAGATCAATGTTCCAGATGTGCCGGTACCGGCAGAGCACCTGCAACATAAAAAAGCAGTGATGGATTAAGTCAGAATAGATGCCTATAGAGCTGTGCACAGCTAGGAAATAAGCTAGGGCATTAAACAGATTCTGCAAATAAGTCCTTTTCTATTGTTTTAGTAATAGTCCTAAAAGCTTTTTGTGGATGCCGCTAGAGAGTTCTGATCTCAGAGAAACTAAGACTGTGTTTGTGATACAACTATACACGTCTAAACAAGGCTAAGTAAGGGAAAGATCAAAAACATGAGCGGATCCTTCCGCTTGTTAAACATCAAACCTCCAAAATACACAGAGGCTATGCCGCCATTCGGCTGAGACACAAGAGGAAGAAACCGAAATGCCCCTCACGAGTGAGACTAAACCAAAACCTGAACGTAAGGTAGGAGGAGCGCTGCAGCCGGCCCGGCAAGCTGCCCTTCAGCCGCCTCCCAAAGGGGAATCAGCAGCAGCAGCCGCAGCCCGCAGGGCCGAGGAGGGAGAACGGCCGCGGGAGAACGGCGAGGCTCCCGGGAACGGCCTCCCTCTGTCTCCACCATGCCCTCACCTCAAACCCGAGCCAGGAGTAAGGGGAGACCACATCGTAAAACAGCTCCACCACCGTCCGACCCATCACTGCCCCGGCCCGACCCGACCCGTCCCGTCCCGTCCCGTCCCGACGCCACTACCCAGGGCGCCCCAGCGGCAGCGGCACCTCCTCCGGGGCGGGCGAGGGACGGTGGAGGCGGAGCGCCCTTCGCCTCCCGTTGGCAGCAGTCTCCGTTCGTCAGCCCGGCTCCGCCTCTCTCCGTTCCCCGTTGGCCCCGATCGCGGCTTCGGGTGCCGTTTGCTGCCTCTCCTTTGAGAGGAAGAGGAGGGGTGCGGAGCCGCGGCTGTCGTCTGTGCCCTTCTCCGTGGCGAGGCAGGAGGAGAGGAGGCTCCCGAGGAGGGAGCCCGGGAGCTGACTCAGCGGAGCAGCCTGGCATGTCTTCCCGGGAGCACGGCTTCCCTGCCGGAGCCTGCGGAGGGCATGTAAACTCAAAGAGAGAAGGGAAATCTCGTCATGGGCGGTAACAAGGTGAAGTCCTTGGTGGCTGGAAAAACCCTGCCGTTAAGAACCATTCTTTATAAACACTGGCAATTTTTGTGAGCGTTTTCCTATGGACGTTAAGGGGTGTTAAAAGACAACCGACGTAGGCATCTTCTGGGGTTTGGGAGCTCCTGCTCCCAAGCCGCTGGAGCCTGCAGATGTGGTTGCTGCTGTATGAGGTGCGGGTTCAGCGAGCAGTGAGGCTGCGTGTGTCCCCCACAGATATAGGTACGTGCACACACATACGCTGAGGATGCTAACGTGGCTGCACAGACTGAAACAGGCAGAGTGCTGCCTGTAACAGCATTCCCGTACAACATACCACAGCTAAAAGCACGTATAGATGCTTAGTCCTGTCCTGGTGCTCCATAGCTGATTGGGGTTAAGTTCGCTAGTGAAAACATACCCTTCACCCTCTAGATTCACAAGAACATGAACATTTACAGGCCCTTTGAACGGGCATGTTCGTGCCCTGATCCTGAGCCGTCTCACCCACTGTATGGGTCTTTTGCTTGCCAGCTGGTCTGGATCAATACTCACTGGCAGAGATGCACACTTACACGCTTCTCCCACAATCGTTGTTACATGCATGAGTCCCTCGATTATCCGCAGAGGCTTGGTCTATGGACTGTGCTCTAAGCTCCCTTAGCAACCTCCCACTCAGACATGAGTCTTTCCAGGTTTTAATTGTAGGTTATCAGGTAAAACCAATACTCTGCACATCCACAGAGGAGCGCAGAAAGACAATGGTGGGTGGGGGGGTCCCCTGCCCTGCCTACTTCCAAGCCTACCGCAGGAGCATGCCGCAGGTACATCTCTGCAAGTGCAGAGGTGCTCAGGGCACCTCAATGGCACGTGAGAACCCAGACTGGGTCTCTCTGGAGGTGGAACACACGGTCCTGCCCTACCAAGGGCTGTCCCGGGACAGACGTCAGCCCCATGGTCTAGGGACTCATGAAGTCAGCAGGAGCAGGACTGTTGGAGGGAAGGGATACTGCAAAAGGGTCTGAGTCCCAGGGGACTGTAGGGTTTTACAGTAGGGGTCTTTCTGGGAGGAAACAACGACAGGGAAAGGTATGAATCTGAGTGGTTTGGGGAGGAATAGCTGTGTGAAATTAGAGGTATAAGGGGATAAAAAGGGTTGCAAACATGACTTGGCTGCCAGAGGGACCAGGGGTGTCCCAGTAAGCTCTGCGTATCTGTCTCAAAGGGCAAGCACACAGAAAGACTTGGCTACCAGAGGGGAATGGGGGAGTCCCAGCCAACTGCTGGGAAATTATGAGTGTATGTATGTGTGTGTCAGTGTGAATTATGAGTGTATGTATGTGTCTGTAACAGCAGCTGGAGTTAGGCTGTGGCCGCAGGGGCTTCTATGACCACATGCCAGCAACTGAAGAGACTGGGATCCAGTAACTATCTGCTCGGTAGCCAGAGTGTCTTAGCCCAGCTGTGGGGCGAATCCATGTTGTACCTAGTGGATCTTTGTTCAGATCAGGTGGAGCAGGGACAGTATGAGGGTGTTGGTTCTTGACTGGATTTAGATGTCAAGGTGGTTGCATTCCCTTAGGATCTCTTTGAATGAAGTGCCTTATCTTTGCCAGACTTGCCTGTCCTTTTGAATTTCCTTCTCACTACTTCCAGGCCAGCTTGGAAAGGAGAAAGTTACACAGATAGAAGCATCCTATGTGTCACAAAATCATAGCAGTACGGAACGCTCCAGTGCTCTCACAATATTCCACAGGAAACTCCACTCGGTGCTGAAAAGAAGGCAGACAGGGAAGGAAGTGTAGATTTGCCAGGATACTCACTGAATACAAAGAAGTATTCAGTTCATCTCAGTCCAGTCTCTTCTGCCTCAGTCCTTGGCACAGGGTTGTCCTGATGCTGAGCTAATGAGGTTAGTGAGATTATTTGGGAAAGGGTTTGCTTGTCTGTGTGTCTTCTCAGCTGTTTGGGACAAACTCACATTTCTTTATGTATCATGATGGCTAGAACCACTGCTGTTTTCATGTACAAAGAAGAGTCTCATCTACATTATGGTGACTCTTGCAGGTATTACTTCTATGAGACTTAGTTGATCTGAATAAGGTTCATTAAAGCATGCTCTCACATTCAAGACCTGAAAAAAACTTCATTAGGAGCCACGACAGCAATACCTCACCTTCTATTCCATCAATGTGATGTCTTTTTCAATCTGCCTTCATGTGATTAGAAGAAATGACATAACAGGCACCTGTAGGTATGACCGCCACTTGCCGTTTGTGGAAAGAAATTGAACTCACTATATAATTGGTATGAGTCTGGGAGGAAGTAAGTCATGGGAAAGAGGGAGAAAAGAGAAGCTTTTCCTTCAAATCAAATGCGTGATTCACTTGTACATAACTCAGATGACAGACCTACATCTAAAGTGAGGATGAGAATTAACCTCTTGTTGAGTTTCTCATCTCTCAAAGCAGCACCTCAAAAATCAGTTCTAGTCCTCACATTGTGTGTGACAAGCAAGAGTATCCGAAAGATGAACTGGAGCTTTGATGATTTTCTTACAGCTCAGTTTCCGTTCCTAATAAACTCCAACAAGCTGTCTCATGGATCTGGGAGGAGAAGCATAAATTTGAGAGGACATCTTTAAACGATTTCTGATCAAATATCGGAAGTTGAAAAACCAATTCAGTAGAAAAAAAAATACAGTGAAAAATATTGTAAAATAAAAAGCAAAAACTGTCCAGGGAGTCTTGACAACAGGAAATTATAAGGGAAATTAGAGAGATGTTCTTAACAGTCATGCTTGTGTGTCTTCTAAATATGTAATCACTTCTCTGCAAATAAACCAAACTTAGGTGAACTAATCCTAAATGCAAGTTGTTTGGGTTCTGCTGGTACCCGATTAGCATTCCATTAACAGAGGTGTATTAACAAAGGTGGTTGGTACAACTCAGTGGTCTCTATCAGTGTCACAGCTCTTCAATGTCATCATAACCCGTATCTTCAAGAGCAGGGGATGAATGTCTGTCAGCTGCAGAGGTCCTGTTTCCTGACACAGTAGGACTCCAGCCTGAAAACAGGAAGGGAAGAACACTGAGATAAATGCACATCCTGAGCATATTACATGGTTCTGCAGCTTCCAGCATGGGCTATCAGTTGGCTCCTCCAGAAATCAAAACCTTACATATGCATGGCTATGAGAAATGTTTGCCTGATTCTGCCTCCTGCTACACATACACATGGTCATTGTACTAAGAAGTAACAATTCTAATTTGCAGCAGTCAAGACTTGGGTTAGGCCACAGGCAATAGTTTTATAGGTGTAAGGAAAACATAAAACACAGCATAGATCACCTGCAGAGGTTGTGGAAACACTGCTACTGAATGGCTGCAAGAGCAGAACAATAAACATCTAACTTACACTCCTTGTGCAGGTAGGTCGTGTTCCTAGTGGTTAGGTAGAGCCTAGGTGATACCTTGAGGTACCCTCCACCTTGATTTTCCCTGAGTTCAGTACAGTAACTATAGATTATGAAAACCAACAGCCTGCTCTTCCTCACCTGTCTGTGAATCCTTGTTTCTGTCACTTTCTTCAGGGATCCCAATGACTTCCTGATCATTTTGCTCCAAAAAAGGAGCATCTTTAGGTCCAGGAGCTTCTGTCGCATCATCATAACTATCTTCCAGGAGGGCATTTTCAGGCAATGGAGAGACCTCTGGAAAAGTACAGGTATTAACTATAACAGGGAGAGATCTTCCTCTAGAGAAAGCAGTAGCTGATGATCCAGCCATAAGGGCCTATAATGCTGACATTGTCATCATGATAATGAGCAATAATAAACTAAGAACCCTGCTGAGGACTCTAAGGTATTCCAGACAACAATAATATAGTTCCAATAGTTGCTGAGGATGAACTCAATACAACTACCTGTATCATTAAGAAGGGTATTGAACAGTACCAGTCCTAGTATGGACCCCTGAGGGACACCACTTGGTGATCTCCATTTCACATTGAGCCATTGACAGCCACTCTATAGATGCAGCCATCTAGCTAAATCCTTTTTCATTGAATAGCCCCTCCATCAACCTCAGTGCTGTGAGTAGCCAGCTGTCTGATTCCTCAGGGGCAGCTATCTCTGTGATCTGTACTTAACTGGAATCCATCCCTTGCTTCACTGTTTTATCGTATGTACATACAAACACAGACATACAAATAATGCATATATAAAATGAAAGGTCAATCAAAGCATTCCTATTTCACTTTTACCTTATACTCAGTATTCAATCTGAATAAGAAAAAGATCTTATTTGGCATAATTATCTTATTGATAAGCATTTTAAAGCAAGTAAGGGAAAGTTTTTAGTTTAATTTTAAATAATAAAAAACCTTAATATAAGAAAAGCAATAAAAAATAAAATTAAAGACGTGGTAGCACAGAGAGTCTGGGATATGAGCAGGTGAGGTCCAAAACTGCTTGTGCCTATGGCAGCTGATCTCTCAGAGACCAGGCAATAGCTAAGAGAGCTTTTTGATCAGCTCTAGGAAAACTCAGTTCTTCTCCAAACACTTGTTCGCCCTCAGCTTTTCCAAACAAAAAAACCCCACAAACCCCTCATGTCTGGCAAATCGCCTTTTCTTCAGCTCCCTTGGATTAAAATTCCCAAATCAATTCCAATCCTATGTCAATATTCTCATTTGGAGCATGCTTTTTTATTGTCTTGATCCTCCCCGTTTATTTCAGAGGAGAAGCTGCTACAGTTGCAGTTGTCGAATTGTTGGGTTCATGTGACTGGGTCCTGTGAAGACTGCAATACTACCAGCAAACATTTCTTTTCAATTTCATATATAGAAGAGAACGTTAGCACTTGGATACGAGGTTGCATAGCATTCTTCCACCATAAGCGTTAATCAGAAACTTTTGGTTCACATCAAAGCATCATTAGTAGACATGAAGTGCAGCAAAAACTAAAAAAATAATCACCAAGAATGCTTTGGAAATTAAAAGCTACCCTGATTTTGGGTCTCTTCTTTTGTAGGTCCCCATTATCCATTACCTTGAGTTGCTCCAGGACCATTTGCTTCATCACTGTCCCCGCTATAAAACTGTGCTTTTGTTTTTGAACTCTCTGAATAAGAATCTAGGCAAATGAGAAAGAATGTGGTATCAGAGTAAACTCTCCTTAGCTGCTAAGACTTCATGAGGGAAAGAGGTCTCATGTATATACCATCCAAGTCCAACAGGTTCTCAGGCAGTATTATTCCTACAAAGTAAAGGGTTTCCAGAGGAATAGCCAAGAATCCTTCAAGGGCCCCATAACACCTCTGTGTCTCATGGAGGTGGTAAGCCATGAAGGGAGAAAAGCAATCAAGAGGAGGAAGCTTACAGGGACACAGAGTTGCTGGGAGGGAGCTAAAAATTATTCCTTTATATGTTCCTGCTTTAAATAGGTGCAGCAAGAGTTGTTTGTGTAAACTGTAACACTGATCTGTGTTTTACGGCTTCGGACAAGGATGAATTGTTCCTAGGAGAGGAATTGGCTTAATCCAGTGGGGAGGAAACACCTCTCCTCAGATCTAGGAATTTTCGGTTTCCCAGTAGGTTTGGGAGGTGTCAAAGTACCACACTGGGATCGGGGCCACCGGGAGGAATTTTCCCTTGACAAGAGCAAGACATACAGACCTGAGAGGCCAGTTATGCCCTGCTTTTCCTTCTTCACGTTATAGTCGATCTCTTCATAGACAGCTTCAGAGAAGGGGTCATAGGATAGTCTGGAGCCTGGAATTAAAAGGCAATAATCACCAACACAGTTTCTGCTCATGCTCAGGGTAGGGTCATGAAAAGGACAAGTGACTTAAAGAGGTCTACCATGGCCTGTTTGGTACCTGGAAAGTCACTGAGAGATGCTGACTGAGGATGAGCGCTGCCAGATGGTAAGTGAAACTCTCAGTGTGGCAGCATATGCCATTCATCTCAGTCACCCACCCCCAGCCAATTAAACACTCACCAGCCATGTCAAGGAGGCATTTCATGCAAGTCCTGAGGGACCCACCTTTCTGCTGTGCTCTGGCACGTTGGATCTGTCCAGCAAGAATGGCAAGGACCAGGCAGAGAAGGGCCCCCAGGACGATGCAGAGGATGATAGGTGTTGAAAGTCTCGTGCTCCCTGTTGCAGGGCGGCGGGGAGGATCTGAATGGAAATGAAGAAGCAACAGGTCGAGAATCAGGCAATCAAAAGGGCTGCTCCTCTGTAGCCTCCTGCTGTGCCCACGCTAGCAGGTCACCTGCTGCCCAATTGTGGGTCCTGCTCAAGCAGCTAGAATTCAGCAGCTGGGAATAGTTCCACTTGGCTCTCATTTACAAAAGGCTGTGGGAGCTGCTTTCCAATGACCTGGAATGTACTGCTGAGTTACCTGCTATGCAGTATCAGGGACATTAAATCCTCATTTGGTGGGAGAAAGAAAGGGGAAGGAAGAACGTTTTACCTGCTCTAGTGGGTGATGCTGTTGTTTCTGTTACACCTGCAAAAAAGAAGGCAAGTGCAGATAAGAAAGAGGCAAGTGTGAAAAATAGGGAGAACACATCATTTGTGAGGTTCCTGCAGTCAAATTATGAAGGAGCTAGTCAATGGGATGTACAGCTGACATAATGTTCCCCCTCCTTCACAGATCTGTGTCATGAAGCAAAGGACCAGTCACTAACCGGAGCACTCCACAGCAGCATCTTCTTTATGATCACAGTTTTTGCCAAACAAAGGTTTGGCAGGACAGTCCCAAAGAGATAGTTCTGTTCCTTTGCAGTGCACCTTCTCCAACCAGATGGGACCAGTCCCTTCCCCAAAGGCAGCTTCACTCAGAGCAGACAGAGCAGATCCACAGCCCAGCTGCCTGCATACAACATTAGCATCTGCCAAATCCCAGGAATCATCACAGACTGTTCCCCAAGAGCCTTGCTGCCAAATCTCCACTCTGCCTGAACATCCATACTCTCCTCCTATGAGTCGTAACTTCTCCCTATCTGGAAAACACAGAAACCTTCTGTGTTACTGAAACAGCAGGAAGGTCCATAGGGACCAATAAGGAGAAATGAAGAGGTGAATGTACCTGAACAGCTTGTAGAGTTTGGACACTCAGCAAATGTGGCTGGAGATGTTGCCTCTTTTCTTCCTGCAGAATTGAAATACTGAAGTAAATATTCTCTGAAAAGAGAGAAGGAGTATAAAATGCCTGAAAATTAATCATAAAGGTGGGTTTTTTTCCTATAATAGATCCACGGCCTATCTAGTACTTGGTGGATCGCTCTTTGGCTACTGCTATGAATAAGATAACCTTCCTGATGACTGTGCTTTGTCCCTTCTTGTATGAGGCAGTTGCAATCCCTTTCAGGAGATCTGAATGTCATCTAGGACTCATTTATATTATATTGGGAACCCGCAGGTATGAAATACTGTCATAAGAGCAGGCATTAGAAATGGACCTTTAGAACTGAACTAATACATACATTTTGTCATGGCTACACGCATGCATATGAGTACATGTACATATGCACTGATATCCCTCCTTACATGTAGAAATACATACATGCCTCTAGACTTCTTGAGAAGTCTGATCCTAACTCAGATCTCTCAGACTGATTTTCTATCATAGATTTTTGCTTTAAAAATATGCAATGGTACTATCCTATGACGGAGTTCCTTGGGATTTCTCCCAGGTAACTGCACTCAATGACACTCATATAATTTTAATGCACTCATTTAGGTCAGGGATATAGATGAAGAAAAAACATTTTCTCATGTCATTTGCATGAGACTAGAAATAATATATATAAGATAACAAATGAACATGATGTATTTACTGCAATGTCCCTAAATGTGTGCATAGGTTTATGTATATATCTAGGCAGTCCTGTACAGATGCATTTCTAATTACCAGTGCAAGAAATATGGGTCTCTTCTGCTCGATTATCACATGACTGAGCATTCCAGGGGTCTGACTGACATTGCCAGAGAGAGCTTTGTTGCTCAGTGCACTCAATGTGGTCCAGCCACGTGGGCCCAGAACCTCTGCCGTATTCAAAGTCTCTTGCGATTTCCCCACCATCTCCACAGTTCAGGTGTTTGCACACAGTTACTGCAGTGAGTTGAGACATCCGATTGGAACAAATGCTCCCCCATGTCCCATTGTAGAAAACTTCTAGCCTCCCAGTACAGTCATTGCCATTCACCAGCCTCAGAGCCAGGAACTCTAGAAGTTAAGACATAAAAATTGAATTAGAGGGGCCTGACTCTGCTAGGAACTTGTCTGTGATGACTGAAACCCAGAATCTGCAAACAATCCTATTCATCATTCTGAATGAGAAAGTGCCAGAGGAAACCACTTTAAAAGTGACAGACCCTTAAACCCAAAAGTTGTACAGCGACCCTCTATGGGTAGGCAGCATTCATCAGTTTGTACATCAACAAACAACAGTGATGGTTACACCCTCAGTTACAGGCATATTTCTTCGGTATGTTGAAGCATAGGTGCCGAGGAGTCACGTGGAAAAGATGAGAGGTAATAGGCACAAGTCATTCCTGGGGACATTCTGACTGGACACAAGAGGAAAAATTTTCACAATGAGAACCATCAGCCACTGGAATCATCTCCCCAGGGGAGGAGTGGATTCCCCAGCACTGGGAACTTTTAAGGTTTGGCTGGACAGCGTGCTGGGACACCTAGGCTAGGTCACGCTTTGCCTAGGAACACTGGACCAGGTGGTCCTTGAGGTCCTTTCCAACTTGGTAGTCTATAATTCTATTGTTTTCTGCTCAGATTTGTTGAAGTTTTGGTGGGCAATGACTTGTTTACAATGTTTTCAGAGCCAGCTGGAATGGCTCCCCTGCAGAAGCACAGGGCAGCCCCGCAGCCTCCAGTGACTGAAACCCTGCCACTTGTAGCCAATGTATTTCACCACTCACCTCTGTGAAGCACCTATTTAAGAAGCATTTGAATATGCATCCACTATAAACTCCACTTTACCATCATCATAATCATAAAATACATACATTATAAAATCTACCATTAGTTCCAGATAATAGGTATTGACATTGTAACAATGTGCACGTGTAGTCAATAAAACTATGCCTCTCATTCTGGGAACCACATTATAGGAGTTAACATCATACCAATCTCAGCATCTATTTATTACTAGATTCAGACCTTGTCCCTGCAAACCACATAAACAAGAAGGTAGTATATGAGGTAAAGTACGATTACTTTCTTCTACTTATTTTATGTAAAGGCTCCTATTTCATTAGTCCAAAGACAAACCACTAAGTAAACCCTGCTCTTCAAGCAATAGAGACTTATTTTCTGAGGGGTTTCAGCAGTTTCAGGCTTCCCAATCCAGGGGAAGGGCTGTCCAGTACTTATCACCTAAATGAGCTCAGGTCTTTTGGGCTGCATGAGTAAACCATTGCACAGCTCTGCTTTTCCAGCTGCCTCGCCATGTACCCACTCTGCTCATTATTGCATGGTTGTAACTGGAGAATCATAGAATAGTTTGGGTTGGAAGGGACCTCCAAAGCTCCTCTAGTCCAAGTCCCCTGCAAGAAGCAAGGACATCCTTAACCAGAGCAGGTTTCCCAGAACCACATCCAGCCTGGCCTTGAATGTGCCATGGGATGATGCACCCACCATCTCTCTGAGCAGCCTGTGCCAGTGTTTTATCACCATCATTGTAAAGAATTCTTTCCTCATATCCAGCCTGAATCTCCCCTCTTTTAGTTTAAAACCATCACCCCTAGTCCTATCATCAGGATAAGAGGCCCTGCTAAAATGTCCCTCCCCATCTTTCTCATAGGTCCCTTTTAAGTACTGAAAGGCAGCAATAAGGTCTCCCCATGATCGTCTCTTCTGCAGCCTTTCCTCATAGGAGAGGTGTTCGATTGCTTTGATAATTTTTGTGGCCCTTCTCTGGACCCTCTCCACAGGTGCCTGTCTTTCCTGTACTGGGGACTCCAGAGCTGGATGCGGTACCCCAGGTGTATTGTCTTCAGAGCAGGGCAGAATCACCTCCCTTCACCTGCTAGTCACACTCCTCTGGCTGCAGCCCAGGATAGGATTGGCCTCTACGCTGCAAGTGCACATTGCCCTCTCATGTCCAATCTCTCACCCACCATTATCCCCAAGCCTTCTCCTCAGGGGAGCTCTATCCCTCCATTCCCCAGCCTGTATTATAATTACTTAGGTTGTATGATTCCTGCCTAAGCAGCATTTCATGGTGCCAACAGATAGTGTCTGTTTGATTCTTCTAAGGTGATACTTGTGTTTGCTGAGTGGGGAAACCTTCTAGCCACCCTTGTGATGCTCTACCACTATGAGAACATAGCATCTGACGATGTTGCTGGGGAGGAAAGGGTTGGTACATATAATCCACTTGTTAAGCATCTCCAAACTTTCATTTCTCTCACTGTGCATACTGATTCATCATTCACACTGTGTGTTATATTCATTCCACAGACATCACACTGCCTAATTGCTTGCATTATGTCTTCCCAAGACAAAACTAAGCACCCTTCTCTGTCCTCAATCCCCCATACCATGCTTAGCCATTTTGGTGGGGCCAAGGGGATATGCTGATCAACTACGCTTGTAGTCAAGAAAGCAAGAGGCTGTCCAAGGAAGTTTCTGATAATCTCTTCTTCCCCTTTATGCAACCCTCCCTTTTCAATCCACAGGCTCAGAAAAGGATTTTCTGAACACACCTGAGCATAGGACTCCAGCATCCTCTTTGTGTTGGCAGTTGTGATGGCCCAATGCCCTAGCAGGACATGCCCAGAGATCAGATTCAGCCCCAGTGCAGTTTACATCATCCAGCCAGATCTGTCCTGAGCCTTCCCCATAATGAGCAGAGTCAAATGCATTGATGGCATGTCCACATCCCAGCTGCTTGCAAACAACATTAGCATCAGATAGGTCCCAGTTATCATCACAGATGGTGCCCCAGGTGCCATCATGATAAAGCTCTACTCTCCCAGCACAACGCTTTGTTGCATTCACCAGCCTGATCTGTCTGCTACCTGCAGGAAGAAAACCCATCTGTCAACCTGAAACAGAACAATAATACACAGGTGCATGTTATGGCTGTATGTTTAAAGCACTTTTAAGGCATCGTGTTCTTGTTATATTCCAGCTCTTCTGTTACGGCTTCTTGGACAGAATGCCTGAGGAGCTAAAACCACATAAAGGGAAAGGTCTACTCCTGAATCTGGTAAATATTTGAATAATTACTGTGAAAAACTGCAAACAAGGAGTGTCTGGTCATACTAAGTATATTCAGAGATCAACTTACCTTAGAAAGCTGGAGAAGCTGTTTTCTATCTAAACTCACTTAGAAACAATTACTGTTACAGATGGGTTACAAAATAAGAGTAGAAACGGTTCCAATTTACTTTACAAAGGCTGCAGGTACCTATAAATAAGGAAATGTCACACAAGAAAACCTATTTAATTCCTAAGTGACAGTCAGAATGTGTGGCGATGTTGGGCAAATCAGTATCCTTATGGCTCCTATATTCCATTATTTCTCTTGATTTTGTGAGATAAATTCTGTAAGAAATTCAGATGAAGAAAGCATGATATCAGTTACACTTGCTTCCTTAACTATCATTTGTCCCTTAGAATATACAAACAGGTAGATATTAGAAGCTCAGACCCATGCCTGTTTAAGCTTTGGTGAGACCACAAAGTGGGCTGATTTAACCCATTGTGTACCTTTTGCACAGTAACTCACCTGAGCAAACCACACCAACATCTTCAGCAACTCCTGATGGCACTGTGTGAGAATGGGAAGTCTTACAGAGCATCAGCTGAGTCTCATTTCCAGCACACTGGACGCTTCTTAAGCCAACAACACCGATGCCTCGCTTAGACCTTGGAAGGTAATAGGCTTTCTTGGCAATTCCACACTCTAGTTGTCTGCATACCACATGAGCATCCTTAACATCCCAGTCATCATCCAGGACCCTGCTCCATGTGCCATGGAGTAAGATTTCAACTCGCCCATCACAGCGGCTCTCACCACCTGAGAGTCTGAGTGATTCAGCAAGACCTGGACTCAAGAGAGTTGGAAAATGTATTGAATAACATCTACTGCTCTTATTGCAGTAGAAATAACATGCAGGACAAAGATAGAACACAAATTTCTATGTTAGTAAAATAGTAATTCTCAGTACTGCTTAAAGGAGACAGACTCTGTTAAGGCTGTTTGCTTTCATGCACATAAGGGTCTGCAATGGGAAGTGAGAAAGTCTCCCCCGGCTTAAAGACTAAATCCCATGAAGAGTCAGGCACAGTGAGTCCTTCTACTAAATGAAGTTTCTATGCTGAAACAAAGACTGGAGGGGTGGGGCAAATAGGATTGGGAAGGACAAAGGGATGGAACGGGAGGGAAAGGAAGGGAAGGGAAAAGGGAGGGAACTTGAGGAGGGGAGAAGAAAAGGGGTAAGATAGGGAGAGGGACATACCAGACTTGCTTGGCAGTAACATCACAAATGCTGCTTTGGTCTGAAGTTGCACTACCTGTAAAAGCCCACTCCTGCCTTACCTGAGCAAATAACAGTGGCTGCTTCTCTGGCTGAACAGCTTGGATTTCCCAAAGTCACTTGAGCACAGTCCCACAGGCAGGACTCTGTCCCATCACAGTGAAAAGCATCTCTCCATAGAGGCCCATCCCCGTCCACAAAATC